CTTTGTCAAATTTATAAGAATACAAGTCATTCGCCAATTGATAAATGATCAAAGGATGAGAACAGGCAGTTTTTCAGTGAAGAAATCCAAACTACATATAGTCCTGTGAAAAATGCTCTAAATCACTACTGATTACAAAGGCAAATTAAAACAACTTTGAGATATCATCTCTCACCCATCAGATTGGCTAAAATGAGAGAAGGGAAAGTGACAAATGTTGGAGGGGATGTGGAAAAATGGGGACGCTAATTCATTGCTGGTGTAACTGTAAATTGATCCAACCATTTTGGAGAGCTAGCTGGAATTACGTCAAGTAGTTATAAAGCTGTGTATACCCTTTGACTCATCAATACCACTATTGGGTCTATTTCCCAACGTGATCAGGGAAAAAGGAAAAGAACTTACATGTACTAAAATATCTATAGCAGTTCTCTTTGTGGTGGCAAAGAACTGGAAAACGACGGAATGCCCATCATTTGGGGAATGGCTGAGCCAGTTGTGATGGAATACTACTGTGCTATAAGAAATGATGAGCTGGTTGATTTTTAGAAACACATGGAAAGAATGGCATGGAATAATGAAGGGTGAAATGAGCAGAACCAAGAGAATGTTGTACATATTAACAGCAACATTGTTCTAAGATTATTATTTTGAAAATTATAAATACTCAAATTAACTACAAAAGACCTATGAAGGAAGATGCTATTCATATCCAAAGAAAGAACTGACAAATAGAACTACGTATTGTTTTACACACACACACACACATTTAGTCTAGTGCAGGGTGGGGAAAGAGGGAGAAAAAAATATAAAGTGCATAGCAGAGAAAAGAAAACTTAGAAGAAAACACAGAAAAGCAGTGTAACTTTGAAAACAATGCCTAGTATTTATTACATAGTTTTTCAAAAAAAGTAAACAGTGTGAAATAAAAAAAAAAAGGATATAGGTAGAAATGGGAGAAAGTAGTATCCCTGAGGGATGAGGAAATATCAAAGAGAAAGGTAAATTCAATAGTGTAAAAAACTGCAGAGTGGTCTGACAGGATTGAACTGAGAAAAGCCATTAAAATAAAATGCAGTCTACTGATACCATTTGTGAGAGAAGTTTCAGTGTAGTGGTGGGATCAGAAGCCATTTCAACAAGGAGGTGAGTGAGAAAGTACTAGGATTGGCCTAGACTGGAATGAGAGAGGACAGAACTGCAGGGATTAGGAAGGAGGCGAGTGTTGTGAGGAGTATTCAGTGGCTCCCAGACAGGAACAAAGAGGGTCTAGAGCCGCTATAATCCTATCCTCCCTACCTGTTGATGATAACAACAGGGGAGACACAACTTTCATTCCAGGTATTACAGCCGGTCTCTTTGCTCTACTATGACTCTCCATCACAACCCAGAAAAGGCCAGGGCAGCCACAAGGCCAAACAAACCAGCAACAAGCATTCATTAGATGCTTCCTGTCTGTGAAGCATGGTGGATCAACTACAAGAAAAAGGAGCTTACACTATAATACGGGTGGGAGACAGGTAAAAACACAAAAACGAAACCAACATTTACATAGCGCCTACTCTGTGCCAGGTATTGCGCTTAGTGCTGTACAAATATGATCTCATTTGATCTTCACCACAACCCTGGGAGGTAGGTGCTATTATCATCCCCATTTTACAACTGAAGAAAGTGAGGCAAAGAGAGATGAAATCACTTGCCCAGAATTATACCGGTAGGAATAGTTGGCGGCTAGATTTGAACTCAGAACTTCCTGACTGCAGGCACAGCACTCTCCACACTGTGGCACCACCCCACTGGCTCCAGGGGACAAGTATCCCCATGGGGGACACCATACTAAAAGGGGGGGGGGGCCCTGAAGAACTCCAGAAGGATGCTCCAGGGTGACATGATCACAAGGACCAACGGACGCTCCAGGGGGAGACCGAAGTGCTGAAGGCCAGAAAGTCAGAAGCACAACAAGCTGGTCAGTGCATCTATCTTACAAATGGGAGGCACGAGAAAGGCCAAGCAGGGGTCTCGGCGGTAATGCAAGCAGCCCTTCTGAGTGGCACTGCGCGCACCTGTCTGGGCCCTGAGTGGTGATGCAAGAGACATAAAACACTGTTTTCTAAGACAGTGATTGGGAAGGGGTTGAGGGGAGAGGGGAATGTGATGGAGAGGGGGAGTCAATGCCTCTTCTACAAATGGCAGACAAGATGGTCACGTGCAGAGGACAGTGAAAGCTCATGTGAGTTCCAGATGGAAGAGGCCTTCCATTCCTGAGTAGTGACAATGACAATCCCTCCTGGTAGTGCCCTTGATCCCCCTCCCCTCCCATCTCTTCCAGCTTGTCCCCAGGATCACGGACCCTCCCTCCCCTCCAGTTGCCATCTTATATTTCTCCTCCCTTTCATAGGCAAAGTCCTAGAAATCACCGTCTGTATTCTCTGCCTCCATTTCCTCACCTCCTCACTTACTCCTCAATCCCCTACAATCTGGCTTCTGTCCCCACTCAATTAAAACTGCTCACTCCAAGGTCACAATGATCTAGTAACTGATAAACCCAACGTCCTTTTCTCCAATAAATTCCTCAGGTCGGCATTTGGAGTCTTTCATAATTTGACTACAGGATATCTTTCAGGGCTGGTGCCATTATTCTACTCCCCTATCCCCTTATTCTATACTCTAGCCAAATGGGTCTCCACACTGTTCCTTGGATAGGATGCCTCTGTCCAAACTGTGCCCAACAGCGCACCCTTCTCCCATCTCCAGCTCTTGGACCCTCTCCTTCCTTCAAGGTCTTTCCTGGTTCACCACTGGCAATGCCTCCCCCTGAATAACTCTGTATTTGTTTTCTACATACCCTATATTTACTTATCCTTTACACGTTTTATTCCTCTGGTAAAACACATGCTCCTTGAGGGCAGCTCCTGGAGGGCTAATCTCCAGGGATTAGCACGGTGCCTCTACACTTACTCTGCCTGGCCAGGGGCTGACCTCTACATGTCACCCACAGTCCAAGGGTCTTTGGGGAAGTCAACCCATGACAGCCAACAGACATGGACAATGAAAACACCTACCTTCCATGACCTCAGTCAGCTATCACTTCTTTCACTCAGCCTGGCTTTTCTGACCTCTGGATCCTAAGGGGAAATACAAAGATAATTAAGACACTATTACTCTCTTTCATGGAGTCTAACATGTGTCATGTAGACTCAGGAGGGGCAACTATCGATAATCTGGTGCATCACCTGCCTCTTTTATTATTACCTATTAAATTTATTAAGGTGCCTTTTCTGAACCTTTCCCCTTACAGTATTCCTTTACTCAGCAAGACCATTTCATTACTTGAAATAAGAAAACACTCAGCTCCCCAATTATACTGTAATAGGTTCAGTTTTACTTAAATCATTTGTGATTTAAAAAAAAAATGAGATCCTTAACCCTTCTGGGAGCAAGAGTTTTTTCTATCATAGTCCCTAGTCAACTTACTTTTATCTTAATTATTTTCAATTTTCTAGTTAAGTGATGTCTTGCCTTATTCAAGATGCTTCCCTGACAGCGGTAGAATCTTCTCATTGTAACGCTGCCTTTTGTGTCTGGCTTGCTGCACCATCCTACCGGAGATGTGTTAAAGACCAGTGGTGTACAAAGAAGCAGAAAGAGTTCCCTTCAAACCAAGAGATGCATCATGATCTCCAGGGCAACAAAAGAAATAAAGCAGGAAACACTCTAGCTGAGGAACAGTTTTCAAGAAAGGGAAGTTTAAATGTGCCTCCCTTTAATGAAAACCCAATATTTAAAAAAATAAAACAAAGCCACACTGAGAACAAAAGACACACTGCAGGATGGTAATGCACATAAAAGGATTTGCCAAATGATGCCTTTAGATACGATATTTACAGGTTCATGGGATCACATTCAGAAATCAAAGGGACCTTCATGATCTTCTAGTCCAACCTCCTCGTGTTTATAGATGAGGAAACAAAGGCCCAGGAAGGGTGAAGGGACTTACTTCCCTACCACAATGAGATATGACTCAAGTAGCAAAGATCTGGCTTATAGCTAGCTTTTCAAGAACATAATGACTACAGAAAATCAAAATCTAGCTTCATAGTACATCACACTTAAAAAAAATTATGAAAGAATAGGAAAATACTCAATTGTTAAGACGTCCAAGGACATCTAACACGGCCTAAAGAAAACTTGAAAAATGTGAGCGATCCAGGAAGAAATACCATTTACGATCAGCTCAAGTAAAAAATAAGAAGATACAGTGTAAACAATTGCTTTGTGCTAGAGAATCTTTTGTTTTAAATAGCAGTATCTTGCCTCCATAATCAGGTACAAATAAAAACCACAATTAGTACTTAACTAAAATTATACATACTTACATACATATACAAAGATGTGTATATACATGAGTGTATGTGTATATATGTATATAGACAGATAGATGGTAATGTTGATAAATTTAACCAAAATGGCTTGTACTATTTTAAGTGAAACTAAATTAATAAGTCACTAAAATACGTATGTTACCTAAATAAATCACAACTTATGCATAAGTCTTTTTTTTGTTATAGGAATGTCACAACATTCCCATTAGAAAGGAAAGGAATTATTCCCTCTTCCACAGATATGAGAGGCAAGGAGAAATTCAGGAACACTCCCCCCCAAGTTTACAATTGAAATAGTGATGAATCAGAATTTGAACCTCGGTCTCTCACAATTCCCTGCTGGAAGGAAAATTCATAACCCAGGCATTTTATCCTTAGCTAATACAGATACGTTTTACAGGGTCTATTATTTTATACAATATAGTTGCCATATTGGATACATTTCACTTTATATACATATTCATTATAAAACATAAACTATGTAACAATCACAAAAAATGATGGGTTGTTGAATACTTCATAATAACCAGACAAAAGTTACCACTTAAATTTATATTAATTTGAGGCCTTCTTTTACATATACTTTCTGGGTTTGGTCATAAATCAATTGCTACTTGGTGCTTTTAATAAAAATTCTTTAATTCTTTTGGGAGATTTACCCTTCTGTCTTAGGGATACAACAGTTTTAAAAATTGTCTTAAAATAGCATGTTTAAAAGCCTAAATAAAGTGCAAATTAAGTTATGAAATTTGAGTAATTTTCTTATCATCAACTTAAGCAGAACAAAAGCTCCGTGAGGGCACAGACTGGCCATTTTATCTTTATGTCTGCAGCACTCGTGCACAATGCTTTGCACACACTAGGCTCTCAACAAATGATTGTTGGATTGAGTTGGATAGCCAAATAAGTGACTCATTTATTTATTAATTTTTAAAAAGCACACCTCGTTTAAACAGATTTCCCCAATAAGAAGTTCATTATAAAATAATTTTAAAGCAATTATGTTATTTTATTGAATAACCAATCATTTTTCCCTTTTCTAAAAAAATATTTCATTTAAATCAATGGCAGATAATTAGGACACCACGTTACACAACTCCAGCATAGTTTAATAAAAATGAGAGCAGCCCAGATTATAGTTGTAAACACTTTAAATGTAGTAAACAAGACTGAGTATAACTTATCTCCCCTAAACTTGCCATAAGAGCATTTGCTAGGAGGAGTCATTCCATATTTTGAAGTCATCCAGAAAATTTTAGTTTTAATTTTTTTTAAATAATACACCAAAATAATTAATGTGAGATTTCATCATGGCAATTCGACTGAAGCTTTATTGCCTCTGTTGGTAATATGACAGGGATTGTAAGAAATCACAAGTTAACTTACAGAGATATGCAGATGATGATATTCACTAAAGAGAATCTTGATCTCAAGTTTTTTGTTTTTTGTTTTTTATATGTGGGCACTTCTAATTTTATACATTTTAGTACTAAACAGCATTACAATTTAAAGTGTGTACCTTTTTTTTTCGACATTTGGCAAAAAAGAAAACTGAACCTGTGGAACAGTTTAAAAACCAAGACTCATCATGGGGAGTTTATTATCAGACTGAGGACTGATGCACTTATGAATTAAAGCGATCCAAGTTTTAACGCACACACATTCACACACGCACACACAAAGAGTTAACACATGGCCACATGGGTGAGCACTTTTCAGTACAAAATATTCCCTGTAACCAAGCATTTCTCCATAGCATAACCACACCACATTAAATCAATCTTTTTTCAACCTTAGTAATAGTTTTGTTAAATTCTGAGATGCCATCATAAAGTGAACAGCCTTAACTTTTATGCTACATAATTATTCAAAGCTTTATGTATTTTTGTTTATAATTACACAGTAATTATAAATGTTTAGTACCAAACTGATGACAAACACTATTTTGTTGAAAAGATCTTGCATTCAAAAAGGAATAATCTTTAAGATACCAAGGCACAAGGCCGCTGACCAATATCAGACTTTTGAGTAAAGACAGAATTGATATTGGAGTCAAAGCTAAGGAGATCTCATTTCCAAACACAGCACACTTGAATTAATCCACTGATATGGAACGGTACCAAAACTCAAAAACCTTTAAGACAATTAACAAAACAGCATGCCTCATAGACCTTTTAAAAGTTCTCATAATTCAAGTTACTAAAAAAAAAAGAAAGAAAAAAAAGGAAAAAGAAAATACTGAAACCAGCATAAATAGTTTTGTTTTTGTTTTTTCTGAATGGCCAATTCCAATAGCTTGAATAGAAATGTTAACTTTTTCATTTGGTTGGTAGGACTGTATTCTTGAAATAAAAGTGTGAGTGAACAATTTTTAAAAGCAGTACTATCGCTTATGGGAAAAGTCTTTTAGTCAACTTCCAAGCACATGGTTAAAAATAAACAGTTTAATATTTCATTTTTTTTTCCCTAAAATCATTTCAGCATCTGCATAAAAATGTGCTGCTATTCCAAAGCGCTCTCCACTTAATGATTTCAACACTCACTCTGACCTTGCCAAGCAAGTATTCAGGTACACCCAGCAGAGACACTCATCCCTACTAAACACAATAGGGGCTGAACATCTAAAGTCTGACAGGTTTTACTTGCTTTATGGAAGTGTTTATTTTAAGAAGACTGTAATAACTTCTTCGCCATAAGTAGGGGAATGAAAGTGAAATGATCAGTTTCAGCATGAAAGCAGTCAGGGGGTCTTGTAATGTGAAAATAAACAAGCTAAAATTCTGCTTTGATGTGAAAACAGTCCAAATTTAGTTGCGGCAAATAAAAGTAATAGTAGAACAAATGAAATAATTTAAGGAAACAAAAGGAGCTAGTGTGGCAATTTGCATCTAATCTGTGCTTGCTTGAAAGCGCTTCTGAAATCAATATTTGGCAACCGTGGTGATTTGTCATTAAAGCAAAGTTCAACAAAATGAGAAGTGATCAAAATGGACTTTTTCTGAAGCAGCAGTACCTGTGTTGTAAAGACTGAACTTAAGGGCTCATCACAACCACTCCCCAACATTAGATTCATACTAGACTCACCACCTTCCTGTATAAATAAGGGGAATCTCTTTGCTGATCTATAAGCTTGATGATAGACAAACTCGTGCCTAAATTTAGGATATTGTATTGTGTAGCAATCTAAAACATCCAAAACACAAATTCAATATTTTAACTTATTAGACAGGCAGATAAGCATTTCAAAATTGCAATGAAATCCAATTATATAACGCATAATGTAGAGAGTACTAAAGGCCTACATTACACGGACTGCTTTTCTCAACACAGCTCTCTTGCAGACCAACTATGCATAAACATGGCAATAAGTGCAGAACAGCTCTGTGGTACCTTCAACTGTTTGAAAATTAAGGGGTTGAAGTACAACAAACCTTGTACAGGTAGGCACCTAGTTATTCTAATAACTTTTTTACATTGGTTGTTTCTACATTTGTTTTCATCAGATAATCAACTAACGTGGATGATACAGGTGATTTGCCAGGGAAAAAAAACCAAAACACCATCTCAGATTGAATACACTTACACATATCATTCTCTTAGGAAGTGCTATCAGCATAGTCTTTGCAACTAGCCCAAAGCATATATTTAAGGAGTTTTTATAAAGCGTTTGTGATGTTGATCTGTTTAATTCTTATGCCAAACAGTTTTCTGATGAAGACAGCATTGTGCTTTATGCAACAATGGAAACCTCAAAATAATCACCATGAAGCTCCTAAGACTTAAGGGAGAATAAACTAGGATGGTCCACAGAGATAAGATGAAATCCACCACGTTGGAATTATAACTGGCAAGAGCGGCCCAGACTAGGAGACAAGCCCAAACCACCATTAGAAGAAGGAAATATGCTATGGTCCAAGATGTATCCTTAATGTTTTGTCTCAACCCTCTGCCCTTAGTGTGAGGATTGGTCTTCAGTTCAGTCCAGCCAGCAGAAATTGACTGTGCAATTTTTCGTTGTGTTTATTGTACAGACTATGTACACTCTAGAGGGTTCCTTCAGTGCTACACTGTTGTACTTCTTGTCCCAGCAATTTGAGGGCGTGCAAATTCCACAAAGTCATCAATAAGAACAGGCCATGCTCCTGAGAGAGAGAGAGAGAGAGAGAAAAAACAAAGGGTGGGGGGAAAGCAGTGGATAAATAAGGAGACCAAAGCTACTCTTTCTAATTTTCTAAGACAGCACCATGAAAGAACAAAGATCAATCATGACTGCAATCAGCTTTCCCAGCTACCTACCTGCATTCTCTTCATTCTCAAGGCTTTATACCCAAACTCTGGTATCTTTCTGGACAAACAGAATTAATTGACTGTGGACAGTTGATCAAGTTTACTTGTTTGAATTTATCCTTGACACTTCCTGATGGTGTGGTGTGATCAATTAACTTCTCCATTCGTAAAATGGTCTTGTGGCACACAGGAGGTATTTAATAAATGCTAGCTGACTGCCTGGGATCTACTCCCCAGAACTGCTGGGAAGCTCAAGTGAAATAGTGCAGTTAAAGCACATAAAATTACATAAGTATCAGCTTTAACTTCTGTTATTTTTAGTAGTGATGAGTGCTTCCCCTGAAATTACCCAGCATTTACTTTGCATAGATATTCTGCACTTATTTAAATGTGCTCATGCAGCTTCCCCAGCAGAATGTATGCTGTTTTTTTGATGGAAGGGTGGAATGTGTTTCTCCCTTCCTAAGCATTCTTTAAGAACCAATAAAATATGAGGCAAAGCATATTAATCAAATTCACCTTGTTAAAATTTTCAAATAAAACCACACATATACAGAAGAAGCATGTCAATTGTCTAGTTGAATTTAAGACAATTAAAAAGTTGAATGTGATCAGAAATGAATACAATTTTGTAGAACAAACCTTTCACGACAAGAAGAAAAATAGACCATCTGACTTATTGGCTGCAATGGACAGAGCCTATGGCTGAATTCTCTATGGGACTGGTTGGACTACTGAAGAGAAAACATCTGTTCACCCAGAGGTTTGGGTAAGTAAACTACCACCAAAATATGACCTTTTGGGATTCTGAAAAGTGTATATAAAGCTGCCATCACTCTGAAAACTGTGACTCAAAGGCCAAAATCTCATAGAAGGTTACTTTCACAGATGAAGGATGGCATAAGGCGGTTAGTTAAATGTTTATTGGTCCCATGGTACTATATGTATACTACTAGGCAGCTGGAATACATTTTTGGCTTTCAGACTTCCTAGACTCAAGAAGCTTACAATCTAACTGCCAGATAAGTAGACAAAAAGCAGAAATACAGGTTAATAATAACAAGAGTACATTAGACAGATAAGTGAGTTCCTGAACTGAACCACGGAGTTGGGAGATGGAGAGGAAGGAGTCTCTTGGGCTGCAAGAGGAGGAAAAGGACAAAGAAGACCAGAGGAATCTCTTCTACACTAATGTATGAATATGAACAAGAGCTCAGCAAGCCGTCCAACTGCAAAGAAAAACCTTAATTAGAAGGGAGAAAGTAATAGAACAGAAGATTAGAGGAGATGAATGGAGTGATCAGGTAAAAGTGTATGTTACCTTCTTCATCATAATTAGACATGTCATCTGCTATCATTGTACTGAAGTCTAAAAGAAGATTCCAGGTATCTTTAGGTATTGATCGTTTATGATGTTCCTATTAGAAAAAGGAAATTCAAGTCACTGAATGAAGGAAATAAATAGGAAAAATGTGAAACAGACAAAATGCTAGATGACAACTGCAATGGTCAAACTTTTCACATCAATTTTTATTCCACCAAATAGAATCACAATATTCTAAAGTGGGTTTAGCACACTTTAAGCAGGTAAGTATTCCCTTAAAACAAACAATTCAGTCTCTCACACACACACACACACACACTCCTATGTATTATTAATGAAAAAACGTAACTTACCAACAAAAATTTGTTCCACAAGTCTAGGAATTTAAATCTCCCATTAAGTACTAAATTCCAGTAGGCAATGGCCATTTCTAGATCTGTAACATTAAAATATATTACACACTTAAAATATCTGTCTCTGTAGTATTATAATAGCTCTGAGACTTACAAGAATCTGGATTTGTTTTTAACTATCCACATATGCCTAACTACATATTCAAGATCTTCCCAAAGGTTCCTAATTGAGATGAACTTACCTATAGATTGACATGCAAACAATAGCAGCCTTCCACTTAAAACCTAGACTGCCCAACAACTCGGTTAGGCTGAATTTAAGGTTCTCTGATTCTGATTCCCATCCTGGTCCCAAGGCAAGACAATTCCAAGAAGAATGTCATATTTAGGTTAAACTCCAGATGGAATGGAAGATTTGAAAAAATATTGAGGACAACAAAAATGTCTAGAACAAGAATAATAACAGAAATGTAGGTCCAGAGATGACAGTGAAAAAACAGAACAGAAACAAGCACTAGATTTGGAGTCAGAGACCTGGGCTCAAACAACACCCCCATCCTGCTGCTCACCCCCCTGGTGATTTGGGCAAAGTCACATTAACTCATCTCTGGCCTGAGCATCCCTTGTGGATAAAATGAGATTGGGTGAGGTCTCTGCTGAGGGTCCTTCTAGATGTAAATCTACAATCCTATGACCTGTGATCTAATCCCGATTTTGTTTCCATCATCTTCACTGATGAAAACAGTGTTTAACTTGGAAAAGGTAAAAGAATCAAAATGGAACTGAAGTGTGATGGGAGGGAAAAGAACACCCCTACTTTAACAAATTCAGGTTTTCAGACTGAGAAAACAAAGAGTTGGTCAATGTGACTGCAAAGTCAATGTCAGTGACCTTAGACATTAGAGAGAGCAGGAAGCTTACCAGAAGAATGCTAAAGGGTTCTGGACCGAACCTGTGATTTACTTTGAGTCGAGAGCTCCTAGTGAAGCACTCTCTCTAGCCACGCAGGTCACTCACAACCTTCTCTGCAATTTACAGCCTCCTAGGGGGGACCAGGCAATGGTCTAAGTGACAAGTCTAAGTGACTCATCCACAGTCACACACAAGTGTGTCAGAGGCAGGACTTCAACCCACATTTTTTGGTCACTGAGGCCACCTTTCTGCCCATCAGGACATGAAACTAATCATAGTAAGAATAAGAACAGGCATTTTTTTTTTCAATTTTCCAAAAACAGACTGGTAAGTTTGAAAATAATGCCTGAAAAAAGATTTTGAGCTTTAAAAAAAACAAAAGTATACCACTAGTAACCAGCATTGGTTCATTAGGAATAAACGATGCCAAACCATTCTCATTTGGTTTCTGACAGGATTACTAGCCTAACAGACTCCTCTTCTCTCTTCCCAGGGCCATCTCATTTTCATTCATTCATGAGATAATAGTCTACAGCACTTCACAGGACCCTAGATAACATCTAGATTCAACCAGGAACTCTATAGACTCAAATGACCTCAAAATCTAGCTTCCCAATCACATTTTATTCTAGGCTCCCGAACTACATCTTTAACTGCCTATGGGAAATCACCACCAGTATGTCCCTACTGGCACCTCAAGCTAAGGGCAGGCTCATTAATGGTTGGCTGGTTGAGTTGTAAGCTGGTTCAACTACTTTGGAAATAATGACTTACACCAGATAAGTTGTCAGATATGGCCAATGTGTTTGTTTTACTTTTCCTAGCACTTTTTCTTTGTTATTAAGAAAGAGTTCTATACTGTAGTATGAAGGTATCTAAGTTTTTTGTTTTGTTTTGAAAGCAATATTGAGGGAAAAGGGAAAATCAAAGAAAGGACAGGACTGCTGTTGAGGGTGAATATGTTGAAAACATATGGTAGAGAGAAGGTAGAACTCAATATATTTTGTTTTTTCTGCAAAGGAGAACATTCTTTGGAATGGAAAGAACAGAAATGACTACCAGAAAGATGAAACTCAGAATGAAGATAGTAAGAGAGTATCCAGCAGATTCTAAGTTCAAGTCAAAAGTCCTAGGATGTAAGAACTACTGAATGTTATTGCTAGGCCACTATTAGTGACCCTTGAAGTACTGTAGAAAACATGAGATATATGACAGAACTGGAGAAAGGTAAATTTTATTTGCAGAAAATGGAGGAGAGTAAAATCTGCATAACATTGGCCAATAAGTTTGACTAACTCCTGGCAAAATTCTAAAAGGTTTAAGTAAATTTAGTGAGAAAGCAGTGATCGCCAAGAGCCAATATAGCTTCATGAAAAACAAGTGATGCTAGATTAACTTCATTTCCTTTTGGACAGAGCTTTTACTAGCTGGTCGATAAGGGCAGTGCTGTAGCTATAGTTTACCTAGGTTTCAGCAATGTACGTGTAATAAGTGTCTCTCAAGCTATCCTTCTGCAAATCATGAGATACAGGCGAAATGGTAAGTCAGACAATTGTAGAGCTGGTTGAATGGTTCCAAAGAATAATCATTAAAGGTTCAAAGTCTAGCTGTAATGATGGTTCTAGTGAAGCACCCTAGGGATCAGTTATTAAACCTACGATGTTTACTATTTCTAACAAAATGATCTGAAGAAAGGCATGTACAGGAATGTTTATCAAAATTTTAAATGAAATAAAACTAAGAAGAACAGCCAACACGATGGATGAGGGAATGAAGATCCAAAAAGATTCTGACAGGATAGAATGCTGGGCTAGCTTAAATAAAAAAATGTAATATAGATAATTTTTTTTAAAATTACTATTAAAAGTAAAAATATGAAGAGGAATAGCTAGACAGCAGTAAGACTGAAAAACATTTGATTTGTTGATTTTCAATGATCCAAGTTCAATCACAGTCAATAATATGAGAGAACAGCCAAAACATTAGATTATGCAATCTTGGGCTATGTTAAGATAGGAAGGGGGCGGCTTGCTATGCTTTGCACCGGTCACACCACATCTGACCAGACACAGAGCAAAGGATACGTTGGGAGTGTATCCAGAAGATGATCAGGATGAAGATATTGAAAATCGTTCTATGAAGACAAGTGGAAGAACTGGGAATGTTTAAGCTGGGTCAGAAGAGCAGTGAGTACATGGCAGTTATCCTCAAGCATCTGAGAGACTGATGCATGGAAAAAGGATACAACCATTTTGCTCAACCTCAGAGGCTTAAAAGACTAGGAAAAATGAGTAGCAGTTGCAGAAGCAGATTTAGCCTTGGTATAAGGAAAAACTGTCTAGTAATTAGTGATTCAAAGGAAGAATTTAAGTGGGAAGATGTAGTGGTTTCCCTTTCACAAGGTGTCTTTAGGCAAAGGCTAGAATACCATTTATTGAAATGTTCTAGGTCCACATCTAAGTTGGACTAGACGCCTTTGAGGTTCCTTGGCCTCCTAGATACAGTCTGCCTTTCCCTTATGCATTCATTCCATATCTCTTACATTACAGTTATTTGTATATGTGTCATTCCTCCACTAGAATGTGTATTCCATATAGGCAGGGAAAAAAATCAAGATAAAAAACAATCTAAGGAGCAGCTAGGTGGCACAGTGGACCAAACACTTGACACTTACTAGCTGTATGACCCCGGGCAAGTCACTTAACCTCAATTGCCTAAAAAAAAAAAAATCTGAGAGGCTCACACAATTGGTCCAAATTAAAAGATGAAATTTAACCAAGAGAAAATGTAAATTCCTAAACTTAAATTAAAAACAAAAACTAACTACATGTGTACAGGATGAGGAGATTTAGCTTGATGATAGTTCAGGTGAAGAAGGGCAAGAGGGTGTATTTGACTGCAAACTCAACAAAAGTCACTGTTAAAAAAAAAAAGACAAAAAATAGGGGCAGCTAGGTGGCACAGTAGATAGAGCTCTGGCCTTGGAGTCAGGAGGACCCGAGTTCAAATCCAGCCTCAGACACATGCCACTTACTAGCTGTGTGACCCTAGTCAAGTCACTTAACCCTATTGCCTCACTAAAAAGAAATAAAAAGAAAAAAAAAACAAACAAGAAAAGTCGACTGGTACATGATGATAAAGCTACATGAATAGAAGTACAATTTGGAGATTAAGGAAGATAAACAGCCATGCTGTACTCATGTACTCTGCTCATATCTTGAATACTGGGGTTAGTTCTAGGTACCACCACATTTGAAGAGAGCTACTGATGAAAAACTGGTGCGTGCCCATGAAGAATGATTAAGAGTCTGAAAACCATATCAAATAAAAGGTAATTTTGCCTCAATATAAAGATACTAATAACAGATTTTGTTCAGTTAGAGGCTAGATGACCATCTGGCAGGGACACTGTAGAGAAGATTCCTGATTTGAATTAAAGATGGGACTAAGTGACTTATTAGATTCTATGATTATGGGACACAAATAATCATGAAGTGAATGGCAGACGGAAACAGATGAATAATGCATAAAAAGAGAAAAGGTATGCCATCAAAAATGGTACTACCAGTCACGGAAATAAACATTAGCTTAATTTTTAGTTATTCATGACTATCATGGGAAAAGAGAATAGGAATATCACACAGTTGAAAACTCTAGTCTGTTGCCCCTCACCAATTTGTTTTGGTTCGCTTGCCCCTTTTAATCTTCAAAATTCTCCCTTTCTCTTGTCAAATTTTGATGAGTTGAGGGTTCAGTGTACATTGTCAAAAGAACTGCTGTTTCTTTTTAAAATAGGGTCTTCAGTTTTTACCATCCCTGATATAGAACCCTAGTATAAAATAAAAGGCACAGAAAAAATATAATTTGTCTGTCTATGCCTGGAATGTATTATATTCTTCACAAAGTCAAGCCTTACTAAAGTCAATAATAAAATGTACCACACATTTCTAGATGTCTGAGCCTAACAATAAAAGTCCTTCCCAATGTTTCATTTCTCAAAATCCCAACTAAATTACCAATTTCTGTCAAGTTCAATTAGCAAAAGTAAAGAAATTTGTCTCACCAACTATAGCCAACATATTATTCAATATCACAGACACAAGGAAAAAGAACCTGACAAAAACCCTTTTTGTTCTTTACATCAGAAAAAACTAAGAAATGGAAATTAACT